GATGACTTTATCAGACAACAATCTATTTAACTGAAAATCTTGGTCAAGAAAAGATATTGTATTATGGTCAAGACCTAAACAAATTATGTTAAAGACACATTTTCTTATTTTGGCATGAACATTTGGAACAATATACCTTTATATATTCGCGATGTTGATAACCTTAAATGTTTTAAAGAAAAATACAATACATCTTGATGTGCATATGAATGAATGAATGAATGAATGATGCAATATACGGATATACAAATTATTATAACTATTATTATTATTATTATTTTATTATTAAAGAACCGGTAGCAATGTCTTCGTATGATAGATTCAGCTTTTTAACACAGTGACCCTTTATGAAATTAATTTTTTACATCCTTTTTTCATATCCAAGGTAACCGTCTTTCGTGAACTGGATAGAACTTCATTCCCTTCAGAACACTAAACACTATCTATCTTCTTTATTACATTTATCAATGTGGCCATACCACGTGACATTTCGGGTACGTTTCACCGATTCAGAGGAATGCGTTTCTTGATTACTTTACTGTTATTCAAGCGATTTTAATCAAATAAGGCGCAGTGACAATGATGTCGAAAATAACGTCATAGTCACGTGGTAACGCTACACTGATCAATATTACTCGTTCAACAAACAATTTACAACTCCAGTAACCATCTTGCTGGGGTTGTGGGAGAAAGTTGGAGAATTCGACCGAGTTTAATCTGCACTGTTGCTTAAGATTGCTTTCGTCCAGTGCCATATGAGTAAAAAGTCTTTTAATAGAACTAATGACAGGTTTTCTCGTGGACTTTCTCTCTTCATGAATATGAAAGTGTTAATTGAAGTGTTAATTCACTGAATGAGTAAACATATTTCGCTTTATACATAGTGAATGTAGACGCCTTTAACATTGTTTATATATGAAGCTGCCAGTAATATTGTGTATGACCAAAATAAAGAAGTAATGTACATTGTTATAGTTTATTCCCTCCTCATAAGATTTTGGAAAGGATTCATCATTCACTTCAGTTTTTCTTGGACGAATTATATATATTTACCAAAATGTTGCATTAATTACAATGCACCTTATCAGTACCATTTTTTTGACAGTTTTTCCCTGCGGTCTGAAGACCGCAGGGTATTGGTACGCGTTTAACTTTTGAGGCATGGAGGAGCACGTGACCTGTTTTCGGTACATGGAGGAGCATGTGATCTGTAAACCGTACATGATTGGTTTATTGACCTTTTCGAAAACCTAGCTAAATACCGTTTAACGGTACGTTACGGATTTACCTCTAGGGAATTAGTCCGAATTACACCTAATTAACAACAAAAAACTATTACGTGATATTTCTAATTTTCTATAATTAGTTTACCGTTTAAGATGGAAAAACTTGAATGATGTGTTTGAAAATTATCAATGTTTCTTTAATATCTATCTGAAATTTTACAAACAATATATTGTTTATACTGAAAATCTACAAAATTAAAATATTCGTAGTGGCATCTGCCATACTAAATAGAGATATTTTCTGCGTAAACTTGTGTGTTTACTTTATTTTTTTTCCCGGAATTATTCAGAAAATGGTATTTAATTATTTTCTTAAAAAGAAAAAATTGTTTTATGTTCGACTTTCTCCGGTCTCATGTCTTTAACGGCCACCAGTTTCCAAAGACCTTCTTCCATATTGATCCATTATTGTCATCTATATTCCTGATACAAACGTTTATTTATCCCCCAAACAATGTTGAAAATAGTTAAATTAAATATCTTAATATTTTTAAAAATGTTCCTCGCAGGAAACCATTTTACTTGTATCTTTCATGTGAGCTACTTAATCTGCGATATACATACTAGAATTTCGTGGATAAAAGATAGACTCAAAATAAATGATATAAACAGGTGTTTTTCACCCGATGTTAATTAAGGCCTTTTTCCGATAAAAATTATTGTTTTTCCTATAATCTATAGGCTAATAGGGGCTCCTACCGAATTGCAATATAAGGAATAAAAATCATTCCAGTCCGTTCAATAGTGTAAATTGTTGAAAAAATAAAAAATGGGCATTATTTTAAGTGTGTAAATACTATCAACACAATTTAATGATGAGGGCTATAAGAAGACTGTTGTCTATTAGCAGTTGTTTTTGTGTCGCCTTTACGGAGTAGTGGTGACATATAGGGATCACTTCTCCGTCGTCTATCTGTCCGTCTCTCCGTCCGAGCAAACATTTTGGGTTGAGGGGCTATGAAACAGTAAAAAGAACAAAAGAGAACACTAAGTTATTTCCGTGATCAAAGGGTTTATGGGCTAGTAGCCCTTAAGATAACAAAGAAAATAACATAGAAAATAGCCCCTAAACCCAAAATGTTGGAAGGTCCGTCTGTCCGTCCGTCACAAAACTTGTCCGGACTATTCCTCATAAACTACTGGTGCAATTTCATCCAAACTTTTCAGGAATGATCAGTACCAAGTCTAGTTGTGCATATTGTCAGCATTTTGCGGTTTAATGATTTTTGTCAGAGTTCTGGCTCTTTAATAATTTTTATTTTAAAAGTTTGTCCGGACTACTTCTCTTATACCACTAATGCAATTTCAATGAAACTTTACAGGATTGATTTGTAGCTCAAGTCCTTGCGCATATTGAACAGGTTTTCCGGTTGAAGATTTTTGGCCGAGTTATGGCCCTTTGATAAAAAATGTGTTTTTTTCTGTGTGTTGCCAGATACACAAAAGCTTGTCCGGACTACTCCTCATAAACTACTGGTGCTATTTTATCCAAACTTTACAGGAATGATCAGTACCAAGTCTAGTTGTGCATTGTCTGTCTGTCTGTCCGTCTGTCACAAAACTTGTCCCCACTACTCCCCATAAACTACTGGGGTAATTGCATCCTAACTTCACAGGAATTTATGTCGCTACTACTCCGATCACTTCTCCATCGTCCATCTGTCCGTCTGTCTGTCCGTCACAAAACTTGCCCGGACTACTCCTCATAAACTACTGGTGCAATTTCATCCAAACTTTACAGGAATTATCAGTACCAAGTCTAGTTGTGCATATTGTCAGCATTTTCCTGTTCAATGATTTTTGTAAGAGTTATGGCCCTTTAATAATTTTTATTTTTATAGTTTGTCCGGACTACTTCTCTTATACCTCTAATGCAATTTCAATGAAACTTTACAGGATATTTACATATATTACACAAGTTTTCCAGTTGAATAATTTTTTACTGAGTTATCGCCCTAGAATATATAACATGTTTTGCCCTGTTAATCATTTTTGTGTCTTCCACTACACTGAAGCTGCAACATGAAATTGGCCATCATGAGGCGACACATGTGATCACTGATCGCTCTTGTGTATTATTCCATTAAAATTATTATACACTGAACAAAAGTTCTAACCGATCACCCTGAGTTTTCGCTTATATATGAAAAAGAATAATACCAATAGATCCGACTTTTATTTTATTTCGAAGAGAATGAACACATTGAGAATAATAAAATTATAACATTTTCTATTTAAATAATACTTTATCGATATTTAAAAAAAATAATTTATATGAACAGCCACTCACCTGTCTGATAGAGGCTCCAGCATTCAACATTCCAACTGCTACGACACGATCCTGCATCGACATTCGTGCCATGTTTTATGTTTTTTCACTTATAAAGTTAACAAGGATTTATGCAATGTAAAATTTAATACTCACCGAGCTCTGCACGAACATTTCGTGCCAAAATGTGTAAACCGCACCCTGTCTCCCGCGTGAGTGCATGGAACCGTATTAAATTATTTTTCTTTCCATAAATCGGTAGATAATGACACAAAAATCACCTCTGCAAAATTTTATAAGGATCTATACATATCATAAAGTAAGTAATCAAAATTTAAAAAGAGATCGGTTAGAACTTTTGTTAAGTGTATTTATAATTTCTTGTGATTAATCTATGCATATCAGCAGCAATTTCTTTTGGTCAAGCCCGACCTCTAATAGTAACTGTTCATAAACGCATAGCATCCTGTATTTTTTAATGTCTATTGTGTAGCCTTTCAAGCTTTATTCAAAAGTTTATCAAATTTTCTTTCAATATCATGCCAAATCATTAACAGAACTCTCAAACAATGTAGCTATCAATCTAAAATGAAATGCAAACATCAGTCTATTTGCCGATCGGCCATACTGGTTAAGTAAAGCACTTTACAGATTGGTTTCAAATTTTTGAACGGAAAAATATACTCGTAGCATGGGCAAATGTTTCGTTTGAAACTAATGCTTCCATTTGAATTTAAGCCAATCAGATTTCGTCCACTGTGTGACGGCCATTTGGCTGCATAAGAGATTTAATTAAATAAAGGATTTAATCATGATTTTTTGATGTGACAGTTTAATTATTTTGTTAAAAGTTATGTATTTTACTTTTGTTCATGAATAGGTCAAAATTAATGTAAATATACGCTGTCTTAATTGTTTTTTTCGTTCCGCAAGATTTTCTTGCGTAGCGTGCTCTGGGTTTTTGACTAATTTCGATATGACGTTGCTTTGCCCAGAAGCAAAAATATCTCAAAGCGATGTCATATGTATAGGACTATGTACTAAGTCAGTTCTGGTTAATTATATCCAGGAATACCGCAAAGGTAAATGCTATCAGATTGCACTCTTGACAAACTGAGTGAAATATTTAACAAACACAATATAAACGTGTGCTTATGTTATTGATTGTCTATTAATAAAATACTAAAACATAAAAAAAAATTGGCCTGATTTCTGAAAGTAACAATAGCTTATTTAATTTACATGTTGAGTCAATATTTATTCACATTTAGTCTAATGATTATTACTTGCTCATTTCAATATTTACTCTATACAAAGCTCAGTTAGTATCTGAAAAGAAATAAATAGTTTAACATATATATAAATACAATTTTCTTTTATCATTTATTCTTTTTATCAATTTCCAATTCTAGTGTAACAACATAGGGTTTTATTATATATTTCAGAGCTGAAAGATGGTCTTTTTGAATTCTACAAAACAAGACACAGTAAAATTTTCCTGTCGCCTCTTTTTGAAGAGAAAGACACTCCATTGACTATTTTCTATATCAGACCAGAACTGAACTCAGATGATAAAATATTACAAGGTGAATCATTGTTGGAGATGTTTAGAACTGAAACTAAGCATAATCGAGAGATTTATGTAGTCGCAGATGCTGGAGTCGGAAAAACTGCATTTTCAAAGTATTTAGCTAACGTATGGTGTCAAGCGCATTACCCGGACAAAGACATGAATACATATTTGTTAAAAGATGATATAGGCTGTATGCAAGAATTTAATTTCTTATTCCTAGTGTTGTTGCGAGATGCGGACGATTTATGCTCTATAGATGATCTCATATTTGAAAAGATTGTTTCAAACTTGGGTCTAGAACAAAAGTTTCCCGAAGATGTCCTGCTCAGAATTTTGAAAAATGAGAAATGTCTCGTTATTCTTGATGGACTTGATGAATGGATCCACCCAGAGAAGAAATGTTACAGATCGCCACGATCAATCCCCCATAGAAATGACCGAGAAAAGTGTACAATACTGACCACTACGCGACCATGGAAATTAGGACTTTTGAATCTAAATTCGTGGCAAATAGGAGAAAAGGTAGAACTTACAAAACTAAGTAAAAAGTCAGCAGTTACACTAACAGAAAGGATATTACAAAGATTGAAATCTTACCCGAATAAGGATGCATTACAACGTGATGTCACAACGTTCATATCAGAAATCGAAAGCAGACAAGGCGAAGAACTTACTTTTGTGCCCCTACTTTTGATATATACAATTTGTTTATGGTGTGACGGTGTTCAAATAGGAAATTCAAAGTGTGAACTGTATATAAATATAGTAGAACTGCTCTTATCAAGAACGATTCAGAAGCATGGAGATCTTCAACAAGTTTGTGACCTTTCTGATAGTGACACCCAAGAATGCTTTGCTGAACATGAAAACTGTACGAAATACTACCCACTCCTTATGTGTTTAGGGAAATTAGCCTATTATACGTTATTCAATGAAACAAGAGAAAACACGCTGGTATTTGATGGATCAGTTGCTAAAAAATATCTCACACCAGACGAGATGAAATTCACCCTTCACTCAGGAATGTTGTCAGAAAGTACAACAAAAACACTAACAAAAAAGTTTAGTAAAGTATCATTTTCCCACAAAACAGTTCAGGAATTTTTTGCTGCAATATTTGTAAGTTCTGAAAATGAGGCTCAGAAATCTTTGATAGAAAAATGTAGAACTGTTCAAGACATTCTGGACATGTCACAAATATATGAATTTATATGTAAAATGAATGCTGACCTGATGAGTGCAATATCAAATGATGTGATGTCTGTGATAAATGAAGACGAGAAAACACGCCACTATAGAACTAGGACAGGTAAATGGAGATTGAGTGACATATACAATATTCCATTGTATAACTTACAGAAAATGTTCATGTCGTGTTTACAAGAAATGCCTGAAAGTGAAAATATTCAATTATGTTTACAAGATTTCTTCATTGACAAGAAAACCGAGGACAGTGAGCAGTTACAACGTATGTTTAAACAAAATAAAGCCAACATAAAATCGCTTTATATATACATCAGTAATACTTCCAGCAGTTTACGTGAAATTATAGATTTGTTCTCTCTCACAGATCTCAGTAATGTATCGAAACTTTACTATAATTGTGCCAGGCAGAAGGAGGCTGAGATAAATCTGATATTGTTTCCCAGTTTACAGGCCGTAAATTTGATGTGGGGTGAATGGACAAAAAATCTGAGTAAAAATTTACCGCGATTACAAAACTTACAACATTTATATATTACAGAGTTCACGTTATCTCACAAAATACTGGAAACAATTTTCAATTTTATCTCCGGTCAAAAATCAATGAAAGAGTTAACATTGAGGGGGTTAGACTGTAAAAATCATGGCCGCCATAATTGTAAGGGATTGAACTTGGACTTGTCTCAACATTCAACTCTATCAAAGTTAGACTTGCGGTGGTTACCTTGGAGGCTACAATTAAAAATATCAACACCGTCAATAGTTAATGTTAGGTTAGAATTCATCAATCTAGATAAAATTTCAATATTGTCACGTGACATGTTGAATATTGAACGTGTGAAGTTATACATGATAGAAATGCCTGCAGAAAGTCTACAGAACTTTATTACCGTGCTTGAAAATCTGCCGCAGTCAGTAACAGTAGAGATGACCGCCGTTACACCGGAAACAGAATATAAAAGTGTTAGAGAAAACATTTGGAGATCACAAACTTTTCATGTGATACACGACTACGACGACAATGATGACTTTTGGGGCATTGAGTTCAAAACCATAGGAGTTTTATTTCGAAACCAAGTGCCTATGTTGCAAACAAGGAAACAAAGTAAAGGGAAAACATTGTACAATAAACTGAAGAATTTTTTTCAATAATTATGCCCCCTTCAAAGAAGTGGGGGTATATTATTGTTTTGCATTTGTCTGTCGGTCGGTCTGTCGGTCCGTAGACCTTATGGTTTCCGAGTGATAACTAAAGAATGCTTAGGCCTAGGAACTTCAGATTTTTTTTGTGTAAGCGATCCGTTAGCCATGGCATCTTTTAGTTCAAATAACGTTTCCTAATCATTGTGAAAGTGTAATTTGTACGGATTATAAAGGGACTTTTATCAAATAAAGGTACGAATTTTCGTCAAACATTACTTAAATTGATTAAAAATGAGTATTAACAACTCGGATAGTGAATCTATTTCGGATGACCGTGACGAACAACACGAGGCTTCAGTTGGGGTTCCAACTGTTTATTTAAAAGAGTATGATGTGTTTGGATGGCGCAAACCTGGCAAGCCATTACAATGGTTAGAACCATCTGAGATCTACACTGAACTAATTAAAGTGGTGGTACCATGTTATATAAAAGGATTGCAAAGGGTTCGAGGTATGTGGCGGATCCACTTTGCAACCCTCAATGACAAAGTTAAAGTAACTGTAATGGCAAGTGGGATACACCTTAGGGGAAGGAAAATAAGTGTTTTGAGTACTTTCCCCACGCGCCTAGATGGAGAACGTACCGTGCGGATACGAATAAAAACATTCTGTTGACGATATACGACGAAGAAGTGATAAAACACAACTTGACGCTAAAAGGGATCGAAGTCATATCCATGTATCGTCAGAGACTAACCGTAAACGGAACTGTAACCGTAAACTGAAAACGGTGACAGGATTGTCACAGTATCTGCTCTATCCTGCAAAATTCACCGATTTCGGTAAATACTCAGCGCACGTGATTCATACCGTCGAGTAATGAAAAAAGGCCGCGCAAATGTAGAAAGTGTTTATTAGACGGACATATATTCTCCAGCTGCCCAAATGACTGGGTTTGTTGAACATCCAATCAGCTTGGACACAAAGCTTCGGATTGTCTTTATAATAAGGACATAGAATCAGAACCCAACGCCGATTCTGATACTGGTTCCGAGCAATCCAGCGACTCTAATGCATCTCTGAAGTACATGTTAAAAGCTTTACTTTCGCCGTTCAAGCGCAAGGCCCGAGACCGGGGACAACAATATCAACATCTCCATTAGCATCATCGGGAATAGGTCGTGGCTCTATATTACAGAATTCTATGGGGGAAAGTATTCTTTCTTATACTACCCTAAACAAGGACAAACCTCAACTTGTTAAAGAGCGTTCACCGCCAACACCCGCTGACGAGTACAGGGAGAAATGTAACGTTTGCTAATGATTGCTGTATATTTTAATGTCACTTGGAACATTGTTTGTTTTACAAATGGAACACATTTGGACTTTCATGTAATTAAGAGATTATTACAAGATTGTACATTAATAACGTGGGCAGTAGGTCTTCAAATCATTTTTTTTCGGAATTCAGTGCATGAATGAATGCATAAATTATGATACATCATTTAAATGGTATATAGTTAATTAAAAATGTAACATGTTATACCGTATTACTGGTGCACAAGAAACAAATTTGACATGGCCTTATAAATTTGTAAGCGTTGTGTTGAATTTTGTAAATAGCATACTTATAATTATTGACGCTTTACTATGTAAGCGCGCAAAGAACTCATGGAAAACACGAGAAACATTCAAAATAGTTTAGATAATTTCATAGTAATTGCGACATTTGGGTGTTGCGATCAACAAAACATACTTATTTCTCAATGTAATACCGGTCATGTTTGTGTCTGCATCTGTATAGTACATGTATATATTTTACACAGAATTCAACTTCATTTATTTTTTTAATTTTATCAAGCATTCACATACAGATGCAGTGTACTTACATGTTGCGGTGCATAGGAAATTGATTTTTAAAAATTATGCATGTATGTGTAATTTATATAAAGTTAATACAATTTATGTAAATTTGTTTTATGTCCGCGTACAAGATTTGTAAAGCAAATCTGTGATGCTTAAAACAAATATTCTAAGATGTTATCAATATGTTAATGTATGTTCATTAATCTCAATGTTTTTGATACATTCTATTTATATGTTAACGAAACCACAATTTTTTTTCACAATTTATACATGTACTTTGGAAATTTACTTTCGTTCTATGCTCGAGTACAATTGCTTCCAAATCCGAAGCTTTTATAACATATGGGACATTACAAGAAAGCTACGTTTTGATATTACATTTTCGAAACCTTTTGTTTCGCGATTTCGTCAAGGCTTCAAGTTTGTTTGTTTGTTTCATTATTTTACGCCTATTCCCAACAGTAATTCAGTCATATAGGCGGGTAGTTTCCTAACCATCGTTCCTGGAGAGTTACACCAGTACTAGACTACCTTCCTCCGCGCTAAACTACCAAAGCATCTCCCGGGGATCGAACCCACGCCAGAGAGGTAACTGGATTCGAAGTCGTCGACTCTAACCCCTCGACCACGACGGCGGTACAAAGCTTCAAGAATTATGCGTTTATCACAAGCGTGCACATTGTACATGTCAAGTTACAAGAAATATTTTACATATTTCAATTTAATATGTCAATCAATTTCTCAATATGTTTATTTATAAACTTCATTTTGGTTTCCTAAATGTACAGGGATTACGTGCGAAGCCCAAACGTTTACGATTTTTAGAATGAGTAAATCAACAAAAATTAGATATATCATTTCTCAAAGAAACTTACTTTACAAATGATATGTTGGAAGATGTTTAAACTGATTTTAAAGAGTATCACATTTACAATGCATTTGGACCTACGACTCACTCAAAAGGTTGTGCTATATTAGTTCGCAAAAATATGTGCATTAAATATAATGTCATAAACGATATAATTGACGAAGAGTCTGGGAGATTTGTGCTTTTAAATATTGACATCTCGGGAACAGTTTTCTCCCTTTTGTTAACATATACGCACCAAATGACAAACGTTGTAGAAATAACTTTTTCGAACTTATTAACAATAAGATTGAAGAAGAATCATTAGGCTTAAAAATTATAGGAGGTGACTTTAATGATGTACTCAACGAAACAGACAGGTATACTCATTCCAACTCGCGCCCTAAATCATCAGAAAAGCTTAAAAATCTAATACATTCACATAGTCTATGCGATATCTGGAACCTTAAAAATATAAACAAAATGCAATTTACTTGGAAACGGACTATTGGCGCGGAAAAAAAGTCGCGTTGATTTTTGGCTTATTGAAAAAAGCATGTCACCTTAAATCGCCAGCTGCGACATAAGACCTGCACACAAATAATGTATACTGACCACTTAGGTATCAGTCTAAAAGTAAATATTCCTAGTAATCGCGGTCCAGGTTATTGGAAGTTGAATAATTCTCATTTAGAAGATAATGAATATAAAAATCTTATCATAAATACCATTAGTTCTGTTCAAAATGAATTCAAATCTCATGACATTGATCATAGAACAATGTGGGAAATATTAAATACAGCATTAAAGAAAAAAATACTTATTTCTCAAAACTTAAAGCTAAACATAATAGAAACCGATTAAAGAGTTAAGAAAAAAGACTTTCGCAGCTATACGAAACATTTCATTCGCATAATTCAGATACATTACTTAAACAAATAAAAGATTAAGAAATCGAGACGATATATATAAATAAAGCACAACCTTTGATAATTTTTCGGGATATGTGTGTATATAATTTTATATACATTTTTCAGAAATGTTTGCTTGCTTTGTATACAATTTTATGTTATATTATAACTTTCATATCAGCATTGTTTTATATGTTTATATGTCATTTATTATTAAATGGCCATTTCACAATTTTATGTTAGTTTGATAACTTTCATATCAACATTGTATTATATGTTTTTCCGTCATTTATTATTAAATGGCCATTTCAATTTCAAAGTGTAGTTGTTATTCTTGAAAATTATCAAACAGAGAAAACTTCTTCAGGCAAAGATACAACAAATTGAAATGTTGACATAAAACTTAATTTATTGCAAAATAAATGTTTTTATGGTCACTTACAAGCTTCATGGTGGGTTTCATCAGGTCTTTAGTCATAGGTCGAAATATATTTGGTTCGAAAAAGCCGTACTAGTAAGTACACTAAGGTTATCGTTATGAGTAAGTACAATGTGAAAATTTATGCTGATTAAGTCCGCCATTTTAGAAGAAGAAAAAATTCATAACAATTCAATAACCCACCATCCCACCCACATTCAGTATGCAATTTTGGACAAGTTTATGAACATTAATAAGGTTTTGTGTTTGTATATAATTTTATATACAAATGAATTTTCTTTACACTTCAAGATATGTGTGTATATTAATTTCATACACAGTTTTAGGCAATATTCTTAGGTTGGGCAATATTCTTAGAACCCAAACTTTGATAATTTTTCGGGATATGTGTGTATATAATTTTATATACATTTTTCAGAAATGTTTGCTTGCTTTGCTTGCTTTGTATACAATTTTATTTTATATTATAACTTTCATATCAGCATTGTTTTATATGTTTATATGTCATTTATTATTAAATGGCCATTTCACAATTTTATGTTAGTTTGATAACTTTCATATCAACATTGTATTATATGTTTTTCCGTCATTTATTATTAAATGGCCATTTCAATTTCAAAGTGTAGTTGTTATTCTTGAAAATTATCAAACAGAGAAAACTTCTTCAGGCAAAGATACAACAAATTGAAATGTTGACATAAATAAAGCAAACGGTGCAAAAATACGATGTACAGCTCATCGATGAAGGTGAGAAAAATACGAATTATTTCCATTCGTTAGAAAAATCAAAACAAACAAAAAAAAGTTCTTAACTCGTTAAAAATTGACGGAAAACAAATAACCAACTTTAAGATGTAATGAACGAAGAGGTAAAATTTTACCAAAATTTATAAACAAAACATGTAGACAGTGAGAATTAAGGGGATTTTTTTTCGATAACACTGTTTTTAAGAAAACACTTAAAGACAAAGACTTAGAATGTTTGATAAATATAAATGAATGCGAAAGCGCACTTTTTAGCATGAAAACCAACAAAAGTCCAGGTAATGACGGACTTACAGTCGAATTCTATCGTACATTCTGACATCACTTAAAATTTTTAAAAGTAAATTGTTATACCGAAATGCATAAAGAAAACGAACTTTCGGCTTCTCAGAAAATCGGTGTTATTTTTCTATTATACAAAAATGGAGACCCAGAAAATATTGAAATATTGCGTCCAATATCGTTGCTTAATAACGGCTACAAAATTTTAACTCTGGTACTCGCGATTAGGTTACAAAAAATACTTCCGAAAATTATAGACAGCGATCAACAAGGTTACATAAAAATCGTTTTATTGGTAATAACATACGACAAATATCAGACGTTATTGACTATTGCGGAAAACATAATATTGATGGAAACCTTTTGTCTTTCGATTTTAGAAAGCCTTTCGATACGATCGAGTCTGACTTTCTAGTTAAAACCCTTGAAAAGTTTAACATTAAACCAATGTTTATTCGCTGGATAACGTCCCTTTACAATAATATTTCGTCATGTATATTAAACAATGGTTGGATATCAAAAATCTTCTCCCTAACACGTGGTCGCAGCCAGGGATGTGGAATTTCTTCTTTCCTTTTTTTATCATCGTTGCCGAGGTCCTAGCCAAATTATTTCGAGAGAATAATGACATTAACGGAATCTCAATAAAAATAAACAATGAAACTTTTAATCGTAAAATGTCACAACTAGCCGACGATAATACAATGTTCTTAAAAAGCACAGAAGACATACAAAATGCATTTGAAATTTTTGGAAAACATTCTGGTCTACAACTAAATTTGCACAAGACAAAAGGTGTAAGATTAGGGAATAACTTTGATTATTTAAAATTAACTTACATAAAATGGAGCGAAAAAGTGAAAGCTTTAGACGTCTTTTTTGGCACAAATAAAAAAGAATGCGAACAATTAAACTGGGAAACGAAAATTCAAAACTGTAAAATTTTAATTAATTCATGGAAGAAAAGAAAACTTACTATTTATGGACGACTCACTGTTATAAAATCAATTTTATTTCCAAAATTTACCTACTTAATGCAATTACTGTACTTTCCAGAAGAGATACAGAAAAAACTCAACTTATTATTATATACATACCTCTGGGAAGATAAACGTGAAAAGGTTAAAAGAAATATATTGATAAACGACTTCGAAAAAGGCGGTTTAAACATGATCGACATTGAAAGTTTTGTTACTATGCTGCAAGTTAATAGGGTAAAGTCCCTACTTTTAAATGAATTTGCAAACTGGAAAGTCATTCCAAGTTATTTCTTAAACAAATTCGGCAAGGATTTCCTTGTTTTTACATGAACTTAAAATCTGTCTCAAGTTTACCAAACGACTATTTTTCTTTACTTGATTTCTATAAAGAACTTAATTAAAAAAGGGATTTTATTTAAAAATATTAATAAGAAGCAGCCAAAACACTTCTTTGATATTCATAAAGAAATAATCCTGGGTAATGAACAAATCTTATGGAATAAAAAATCTTTATATTTTCATAATTGGATAAACTCTGACATAATTTTTGTAAATGATATTATCGATGCAAATGGCGATATCAGTGAACATCTTATTCTTACAAAACTCGGAAATAAATCAAATTGGCTATCCGAAATTTATACGCTACATATAGCTATACCGCAACTCTGGAAATTCATCTTAAAATCGGAAATCAAAACTAGGATTAGAACTGAATTTTCTCCTTTACTTACAAAAGAATCGAACAAAGAGATTTATAACATACTTAGAAACAATAAAGCGGAAAAACCATACATTCATCGCCTAGGGAAATTTTATTTGAACATGACATTCCGTGGAATAAAGTATACCTGAATATAAAATCAAGCATTGACAATAGATATAAACAGTTCCGTTATAAACTCATTCATAATATATTACCGACAGGGGATAACTTATACAAAAGGAAATTGAAAAATAGTCCGGAATGCGTTTTTATGCAATTGTACTGATAGCACAGAACATTTCTTTATTCATTGGCAATCACTTAATGCTTTCTGGAAAAGAATTATTAAAACTTTTAAGTCGCTAGGAATCTGTAAACATATTTTCAATCTCAAAAATATTGTACCAGGTTATAGTTTCGAAAATACGCAGCAATCAAATCTTTGGCAAATTAATTTGATCTTTACAATTATTGGTTTTAGTTTATACAAAGCTTATATGAGGAGTAATCAACGTGCCGATACAATAAACATTGATGGAACCTTTCTACACGAACTTAACAATATGAAACTATACCTGGTCCATAAGAAATATAATTCTCATTTTATTAAACGCTTTACAACAAACTTTTAATATTGTCAGATATGTTAAAAGATGAGTAAAATTATGTTATAATAGTTTATTATAGCTAGGTATACCTTTTTCTAAACTGTAATTATAATATCATACATGTATTTGATATGTTAAATGCACTAACTGTACAAGTATTATATGCAAATGTTCTTTGTGCAAATGTTCTTAAAGTTTTTAAATAAGAGATAAAAAAGGAACTTCAAACTTTGTATGTTGATTGTTCATGACCATCAGATGACGCCTATTGATTTTTGGGTCAAGGGGTCAAAGGTCACGGTCACATTGACCTTGTAGATAAAAAAACGGTTTCCGATCGATAAGATAAGAACGCTTAGGCATAGGAACTTCAAACTTGGTATGATGATTGTTCATGATCAGCATATGACGCCTATTGATTTTGGAGTCAAGGGATCAAAGGTCAAGGTCACATTGACCTTGTAGGTAAAATCGGTTTACGATCAATAACTTGAAAGCTTATAATGGGCTTTTGGCCTTAAAATTTTGTAGGTGCCTTGGTCTTGACCAGTAGACGACCCCTATTTATTTTTGAGTCAAAGTCTCAAAGGTCATTGACCTTGTATTTCAAAATGGTTTTCTATCAATAACTGAACAACCCATGAACCCTTGACCTTTAAGCTTTACAGATGCATTGCTTTTGGTCAGAAGATGGCCTCACTGGATTTTTTGGCGTTAAGCGGTTAGAGGTCAAGATCACATTGACCTTATAGGTAACAACACTTTCTGATCAATATCCAAACTCATGGGCCCTTTACCTTCAAACTTCACAGGTGCATTGGTCTTGACCAGTAGATAACCCCTTTTGATTTAAGGGTCAAAGGTCAATTTCATATTGACCGTGTATGTAAAGACTGTTTCTGACCAATAACTTAACAACTCAAGTTGGCTTGGTTGACATTTTCTTATATAACTACAAATCCTTTTGGTATACACATTTCAAGTTCTTATGTAATATAACAACTTGGCTGTCATAAATGAAGCCTACATGATTCATAAAATTAATGCATGTATCATTTGGTAAGATTTGTAATAACTTTGTCATAAAATTGCTGCACACAACCTTTACAGTCACAATTACCTATTGACTAGTCATGACAAGTAATTATTGATTTTTTTTGTCACTAGGTCAAAGGGCAGCCATAATAACCTGATAAAATGACTAATTGGCTGCCGATAGGGGACATACATGTTTTACAAACATATTTTGTTTTAGATAAAAATAATTTAAAAATACACACTGAAAAACAAACTGGCGATTTCTTCAACGTTAACAAAACATTTATTGTTTGGTCATTTAATTTATAACATTTATTTCTGTTAAAATTTTAACTAAGTGACAGTTGTTTATAAAATAAAAATATTTTAACAGGAGTAATTATTCAACGAAGTTTTTTTTGCCTCCACCTCAAAATATTTTCAAAGTCCACTGACATATATGGCTTTGAAACAAGTTGAAACTTTATACAGTTCTTTGAGAGCATAATAGGACTCGCTCCA